AAGAAAATTTTGATTTAAAAGTTAAGCTTGAATGCTTAACAAAAGAAAAAGAAATCATTTTAAATAATTCATTTAGTTCAATAATGACAATATGCTCACATTGTCATTATCATGGTCACAAGGAACATACTTATCCTTTGAAGAAAGGAAAACATTTTAAAATTAGGCAAGTATGGATTCCGAAAGGAACAAGAGGTATTGAAACTAACGTTGAAGGATCCAAAGCAATTTGGATACCAAAATCGAAATAAATATCTCTTGTAGGTGTGTGAGAGCAATGGTGATGAAAGTGATGATATTCAAGATGCTCTAGCCACACATGAAAAAAAATGGGTAACCTCTAAGTTTAATGATTTAATTTTGGTTATTTGGTTGCTCATTTGATTTTAAGCATGCATGAGTTGTGATATTAAATGATTATGTTTTGTTTTAATCTCATGTATGTTGAAAACAATTGGTATGATGAACAATTTTAAAGTTTTAATAATTTTTCAAAATTTTTAGTTCACCATAATAAAATTTTGGTCAAAATTGGTTTTAATGCAAATGATATCTCTCTAATAATTTATATCAATTTTTTAAAAAAACATTGATTTTACAAATTTTAAATTTTTGACCTAAATTTGAATGTTTATGCATGTGGTTTAAATGAAAATGACATCTCTCTAACAATTGATATCAAAATTTTCAAAATGCATAACATTTTTGGAAAACTTTATGCATATGCACTTAATTTTAACAAATGGTATTGATATCAAATTTCAACAATTGGTATTGCATAAAGTATTTTAGTCTTGGATATATTGAATTTCATGTGCTACTAACATATTTGTTATTCTTTGTAGAAATTTAATTTCTTTTTAAGTGTCAAGTTCTTAAAGCTAAATTTTGATTGGAATGCATTTATTGAGGGGGAGCTTTGATTTTTCAAATGATTTTTAAATGTCAAATTTACCACTTACTCTCCAAAGTTATTTTGAACTTCAAAGATCGAATTATTTTTTTATATAACAAAAAGGGGGAGAAGTTTGGTTTGAAAAATTCAATTTCTAAATGAAAAAGGGGGAGCTTAACATTTTCATATATTTTCCAACAATTGTTAACAATTGATATCTTTTTCATTAAACAATTTATTAAGGGGGAGTTTTGCCAAAAACAGTTTTTCAAATGTTTTTTATATCAAAAAGGGGGAGATTGTTGAACTACGTTTTGATATAACAATTTAAGGCAAAATGGATTTTGGACTTGAATTGAATTTACAAATTGTTTTTGGACTTAATTAAATTTATTCAAAGTTTTAAAAGGTTTCAAAAATAATTTAAAGTCCATTAAATTCGGATTTGAGCCAAAATGCTAAAAGGTGTCAAAGTGCATCCCTGCAGTGCATCTATGCACCTGCACTAGTGCATCCATGCACTCAAACACCGAATGCAATTAGTGCATCGATGCATCCTTCTGTGCATCGATGCATCATGCTGTGCATCCATACATCATGTTGTGCATCCATGCACGAAGGCTGCAACGATTAGTAACGACTAGTTTATTTGAATTTAATGATGGGGTATCGATGCACCTTGATAGTGCACCGATGCACCATGTAATGGGCAGCCTTTTTGAGTAAAAAAAAATCATCCCCAAACGGCTCCAAAACATCCCCAACGGCTATATACAACATCAAACACATTACAAGCTATAAATACAAGCTAAGGACACTTGAAGAATAGAGAGAACAACTATCCAAGCAATCAAACACAAGAGAAGAGTTTTTCATTCTTATTTCAACTTTCTCTTGTAAATATTTTGTTTTTGTGAGCTCAATCTTGTAAACACCTACCTTAGAGAGGTTTTCTTGTTTACTTATTTTATCCTTTTGTAAAGGGGAAAGGTTCTAGCTTATCCCGTGTAAAAGCTAGGGAAAGGTTCTAGTTTAGCCCGAAAAAACTAGGGAGTTGTAAGGTTATCTCTTTGTCCTCAAAAGAAAGAACAAATTAGTGAATTTGTTGAAAAATCCTTGGAGAGAGCTAAGGTAGTGGATGTAGACTTTGGTTGAGAAAGTCGAACCACTCTAAATCGCTGTGCAATTTTCTATCTTTCAATCTCCTTACTCCCTAAACACAAAACCGTTCCAACCCCTCTTTGCAAACCGTTCCGGTTGTCGATTCGAGCTTCCGAAAATCCCAACACAAAGTCTTTTAATCCTACTAACAAAAGGAAAATAATGTGTTAGATGATGTATAGGAATAAGGATAAGGTAAGCAAAAGGCCCTAAAAACAATAAGATTCAAATAAAAAAAATTGGAAAAATCCCAAACCCAGAACAGAACCTAAACTCTGGATCAACTTGAGCAATTTTTTGAGGGGGGTTTCGATCTCCAAAAATTCTGATTTTTTTGTGGATGATTCTCATTGAGTGTAGTTGTGGTCTGGAAATTTTTAGCACGAAAATATTCCTTCTGGAAAATTCGACAATGCACACAGCGCGAATCTGCCAAAAAAATTTTAATGATCCAATTGAAGGGTTGGATGAACTCCAAATTGGCTTAATTTTGGACAGATGAAACTTCTTTGTATGAGGTATGATCCTGCAAAAAATTAGCTCTAAATTATTTCGTTTGATTTTTTGTATTTTTTTACCTTTTGATGAATAAAAATAGCAAACTAAAAATAATGAATCGAACCTAAATTAAAAGAATGCTAAAAGAACCTAAAAACGATGATTTTTTCACGAACTAGCTTTGTTGGGGTACTTCGACGATTGACGCTTGGAGAACAAGTCAAAACTCTTTGATACTTCCCAAGAATCGACCCAATCTGATACCAATTAATAGAGAAGCGACACCAGATGATGTGAACGTTGCTTTCATCGAGGAAACAAACCTAGGAAAGCTCTAGACTCGATGAAAAAGCAAATGGCTTTGGAATGGGTGCTTTGGAAGGTGGCGACAAGATTAGGGTTTATGGAGACTTTTAGTTGCTGAAAAATAGACAAAGAAACAATATTAAGGCAATAAAATGAAGGGTAATAAAATTAAATAAAATACAAGAGAAAATAATATAATAGATTAGGGAAAAAGACAAAGCATGTAAGAAAAGAAAATATGTTCTTATCTCCCCTTGTAATAGGCGCCCAATATATTTATGGTCTGATCTTGATGGATGATGGCTCGTTAGAAAAAGGATGGAAATATGAGAAAGATGGTGAAGATGGATTTGAAATCGGATGGTCGGATTGTGAGAAAAACACAATTAAAAATTTATTTCGGTAGGTATAGGGGTTAACGCAAACCTGATAGGTTATATGGGGTGGCGTGATTAATGGCTAAGTTGATGATGATGGCTTGTAGATGATGAAGATTGATGGATATGTCCTATCGAAACCTCCTAATCGTAATGAAAATGCAAACTCGATAATACGACTCTAACCATCCCTCCTAATCGCAATGATTAGACAAATAAGAGTGAATATCTCTCTCTCAAGAACTCGGAAGAACTAAAGAATAAGATGCTTCGAAGGCACAAGACAATCAACTCTTGCAAAAAGATCTCTCTTTGTATTGTATAAAATAGAAGAAAAGTTGATTACAATGAGAGGGGAAGAAAAATTAGATTAAAATTTAGTTAATATTTATCAACAATATAATAATATTTATTATATTTTCAAATCTAAATATTATTTTTATCAACAATATAATAAATTTCCATCATAACATAATGGATATACATTAGACCATAAGGGGTTTCAAGTTTAGTAAGCTTGGTTAACTTTTCATTTTTTTCAATCATCATCTTATTAAAAATATTAATTTATTAAAAAAATAATGTGTAAATATAACAATTCTAATATTTTTAATAATCATAAATATTTAATCTATTGATTACCTAATCCAAGTCAGATACTTTTGAGATATTTAACTTATTTGATTAGTTAATCCAAGTCATATATTATTGAGACGAGGTAATCCTCTTAAACTAATTTGCTTAATTCACCTATAAAATAATTATTAATAATTTAAAAATATAATAATCGAAATAATAAAAATATAATAAATTTCAGTTTTAATAATTAAAGTACACGCACAACAAAATTTTGTGACTTATTACCTATTTTATATTAATGAGCATCTTTGACTCTTGGATATACTGCCAGGTGTAAACACTTCCTCAAACATGTTGCAGTTTTGATTGATAACATAAATAATTTGATTGATAATTAGATCTAATCACGATAGTGGTGTCATTCATATATTTTTATCTAATCATATTTTAAATATATATATATATAATTGTAAAAGTTGCAATACATTAATAATCTATATTATTTAAATTTTAACACATCCGTCCCCATTTTCCTAATGTATTTTAATTTTGGTGTTTAGCATCTAAAACTATTTTTTAAATATGAAGGGGTGTTGATTAGATTTAATGCAGGGGGTTGATTTCAACAAGGGTTCACATGGGAAGAACAAAACGATGACCCACAAATTAGCTTGCATGCCACTGCTACAAGCCAAAATTTTGAATTAAAGGGCTGTTTGCAAGATTGGAATTAACAAAAAAAAGAAGAAGAAACTTTCACACTGCTTTCATGGATCCCACCGTCATTGCCATTTGATCAGTCAGCATAATCAGATTTGAGTGCTCACATTCTCCTAAAGAAGGTTTGTATATTTTAAAAAAGGAAAAGCTAAAAAAAGAATATATATATATATTTTTTATGCTTATATCAATACTATTTTGCAGAACTATGATTTCCAGAATTTATGAGACATCATAGCTATGATTTGAAAGTGAAAATACTCAATTTAGACCTCAATATTTGACACAGAAGAAGTAACATCTATGATATTTGCAGTTGTCATTGTCCTAAATATATCTAGATATATATCGAACATACATTAATCAGAATCCAAGTACTACATTAGACCAACCAATTCACTTGGACTATAACCTTCCATATGAACTAACCTGTGGAGACCAGATGATATTAGATTGCTGAGATGTGCAAAACCGTGGAAAAAATATGTATGAAATATCTTCTTTTACAGGACATGATAACATGAATTTCAGTAGTACAAAATGGCCCTTTTTTCCTACATGAATTCTATTCTTCTCATTCCATTCAAGTTTTTACAAACAAAAGGAAATGGCTGTGGTGATTGGTGAGTAATTTTTCAAGTTTCACATTTCAGGAAAGAAACATGTGACATAAGAAGCCAAGATAAAGCACAATAAAGTTATATTTGATCAATTGTTTAAGGTTAACGTTAACCTTTCATTGTTCTTGTGATTTCTTCAGCCAGGGGAGGTCTGAGTTAAGAGAGGTTGGCATACCAATTTGAGCATCTGAAGAGCTTGAGAATTTGCCTTTCTTAGACCAAAGCCAGATCTTGGAAACCGAAAAGCTTTCCCCTTTACTCATACTACTAATCTTCTTCTCCTCGGCATCTCTTTCCGCCGATGAATTCCCATTCTGTTCCGAACCTCTAGATAGCTTGACAGCATCGCCACGGTGTTGGCCGCTGTGTCGACCATTAGAGAGGGTAACCCTCAGATCAGAATTGCCAAGCACATACTGATATGAACCCATTGAAAAACACCTCCTTGCTTCCAAGTTGCTGCTACTGGTTTCACCACCAGCCTCATCCGGTTCACCACTTAGCCTTCTGAATTTCCCTAGCCTAACCGGCAAGACCCCTTTGTCAACAACAATTTCCTCCATTTCCACAGTTTTCTGACAAGGGGTGTACCCATTTTCACCATTGCCACCACACCCTTCATCTTCCCTAATGTCATCAAAATCAAAGACTGGATTCTCCATTGAGAACCCAGGAGCAAAAAGGGTGCCTCTACAGAGAGGGCATGTTGAATTCGACAACAGCCAAGTGTCGATACAGTTTATATGAAAGGCATGGCTACACACAGGAAGCAATCTCAGCTTATCTTTCTCAGAAAACTCACATAAACAGACAGCACAGTCAAAGGGCTCCTTGGGACCAACAATTTCCTTGTAATGGAAAACAGGTAAAGCATCAATGAAAGCTTGATCTAAACCAGAATCATGGAGGTGGAACAGCTGTTGGAGTTGTCTTTGAAGAGCATCAGAGGTGGACATGTCAGGGTATCTAGTATTAGATTGAGAAGATGTAGATGAAGATGGATGCTTTATAAGGAATCTAACAAGAAGATGGAGAAGACCAGAGATGAAAAACAGAACAGCCAAGATTACAATAATAAAAAGAACAGCAGGACTGATTCTTGTACCAGAAGATGACGGTGGTGAAGGGTTTGAATCTCTATGAAAAGCCGTAGCAGTTAAAGGAGATGGAGGAAGAGGAGGTGGGTATTGAAAGTAACCATCTTTTTGCATGATTTGCTGATGATGAACCCGAAACATCTTCAAATGGTTGCTTTCTAACATCCTACACATCATAAAACTATAACTCTGGAACCCCAAAAAATCCCAGAAATAAAAACTCAAACTCACCTCATATTTCAAGCCTCAAAAACAATGCTCAAAACAAAATCTTTCCTTTTCACAGCACAAGAACACAATATCCTCCACAACCAAAACCGTTTTTTCTTTTTAACAATCCATTAAACTAACATATAAAAAAATTGGGTCTTCGAGAAATTTACCTGCCTTCAAAATGGAAGAAAGAAGAGGAAAGTGAAGAAGGGTATCTAATCACAGTATTTATCAAAAACCCAATCTCAAAAATCACTTTTTTTTCCTTTATCTTTTTGCTTTTTCTCTTTTAAAAAGTGGGTCGTCATTTTGAGATTGTCTCATGAAAGACAACTAATATACAGTTAAAATATAGTATTATCATATATATTAAAAGATATTTATATTTAATTTACTGTAGAAACATTAATTTAGGTAGAAAATATAAAAATTATTAAAAAATTTGATAATAGGTAAACTTTGATTATCGATAAGTATCAATACATATATATAAGTGTTTATACTTATTTTACTGTGAAAAACATTAATTTAAGGTTATTTTTTATGTTACACGTCTAATGATTTATTATGTTACCGTATATTAAAATAATAAACATAGATATTACATATTTATTATTATCTTTGGTTAAGATTGTTAAATTTAAATTTAGATAATATTTTATAAAATATCAAAATAATCAAATAATTATTTGTGTAAATAAAATTATTAAATTAATATTTTAGGTGGAAAACATGAAACACTGTTAAAAATTTTGAAACATAAATTACATAACTTTCAACAAAGTATTAATACATTTTTATAAAAAGTATATATACTTTCAACATATTAGGTAAATTTTACCGGTTTTATCATAATGTTACCTGATATGTTGAAAGTATCGATCCTTTTTATAAAAAGGATCAATACTTTACAATATAACAAGTAAAAATATAATGTAATAGGCAGCGCTTAAATAATAAAATAGGTTAATTACTGGAAACATTATCAAGCACAATAACATATTAGGTACCGCTTATATAATGTAATAGGTAGCGCTTATATAATGTAATAGTTAACGCTTATATAATGTAATAGGTAGCGCTTATATAATAAAATAGGTTAATTATTGGAAAATTATTAAGGACAATAACATATTAGGTAGTGCTTATATAATAAAATAGGTAATATTGGTTATTAAGTGCTTATATAACGTAATAGATAGTGTTTAATAATATTTAATTATTTAATTATATATATATTAGGTAAACGCCTAAAATATTACCAATGATAACATAACCGGTTATTTACTAGAAACATTATCAAGTATAATAATGTAAACGGTAAAAAAAATAGGCGCTACCTATTACATTAAACTACCTACCAGATATGTTGAAAGTATCGATTTCATTTAAATAAGTATCAACACTTTTGGAATTTAAAATAAAAACAGTAATAAGTCTATAAACAACAAATACAATAAAACAATATTATTTATTAACAAAATAATATTATTATTTTTAAAATATTAGAATAATTTATTTAATATTATTTATGTAAATATTATTATTAAAATATCATATCTATAATTTTATAAATAAAAAATTATGATTATTATATTTTATTAAAATAAAATTATTATAAATTATATTTTTATTTTTTATAATAAGAATAATATATCATTAATTATATTATAATGAGAGAATAGTTAAACATATGTGTCGATACACTTTCTAAAAGTATCGACACATATGTTATAATTATAATGTAATATGTAAATTTACAATGTAATTGGTATACAACAATAACAAAACATGTAAAAATTACCGAAAACATCATTATTTTAACAAAACAGGTAAAGCGCTACCGGTTTTATTATTTTTTTACCGGTATTGTTATTTTTTTACCGGTTTTGTTATTGTTGGCATTTTACCGAAAATGTTAAAAAACATTGATGTTTTAGGTAGAAATAATAATGAAGTGATAAAAAATAATCATAATTACAATATAATTATAAACATCAAATACAATAAAATAATATTATTTATTAACAAAATAGTATTATTATTTTTAAAATATTAGAATAATTTATTTAATATTATTTATGTCAATGTTATTATTAAAATATTATATCTTTAATTTTATAAATAAAAAATTATGATTATTATATTTTATTAAAATAAAATTATTATAAATTATATTTATTATTTATTATAATAAGAATAATATATCATTAATTATATTATAATGAGAGAATAGTTAAACATATGTGTCGATACATTTTCTAAAAGTATCGACACATATGTTACATCAAAACAGATAATTATAATGTAATAAATAAATTTACAATGTAACCAGTATAAATATATCGGTTTTATGAGAGAATAAGTCTACATAATGTATCGACACAAATTTAAATAGTGTCGATACATTTTGTCTAGAATGAATGCCAAACGAGGTGCACGCATAAAGTGTCGTTACATTTATTAAAAGTATCGATCCCTAAAACATCGAAAACGATAATTACAATGTAATAGGTAAATTTACAATGTACTCGGTAGAAATATATCGGTTTTATGAGAAAATAGGTCTACATAATGTATCGACACATTTTATGTTTGTGTCGATATTTTTTTCCAAAATGAATGTCCAACGAGGTGCACACATAAAGTGTCGACACATTTATTAAAAGTATCGATCCCAAAAAATCCAAACCGATAATTACAATGTAATAGATAAATTTTCAATGTACCCGGTAGAAATATACCAGTTTTATGAGAAAATAGGTCTACATAATATATCGTCACGTTTTAAGTTTGTGTCGATACTTTTTTCCAAAATTAATGCCTAACGAGGTGTACGCATAAAGTGTCGACACATTTAAAATTGTATCGATCCCAAAAACATCGAAACCGATAATTATAATGTAATAGGTAAATTTGCAATGTTACTGGTATAAATATACCGGTTTTGTAACACCCCAATTTAGGGACTAAAATTAAGAAATTATAAAGTGGTGGATTTAATTTGGTATTTTGAAAGAAACAGTGGATTAAATTGTAAAATCACAAAGTTGGCAGACTGTTTTAAGAAATACAGGAAATTCAGTGGCTAGATTTATGATTTGACCATTTTTCTTTTGGGATGAATTATAACACCCATTCTCGTATGTTTTTCTGCAGATTTCCCAGATTTTCCTCTCTAACAACCCTTCTTTCAACTCCGATCTACTCGCCGTCCGACCTTCGATGGACGAGCCGAAACGATCATCGTGTTCGTTGTCGAGCGAGGAACAAAACCTCTCAAAGCTTTTGTCGTGAATCGTCGCCGTTCGTCGTTAATTTCAGTCGGAAGTATCGTCGGTAATAACTCAATTTCAATTGGTTTTTCGTCGATTCACGACGATCCGAGCATCCGTTTACGACACCTCCCGCACCATCGTGTTCCTTGCATCGTTCCGAGTCTGCCGGTGTCATCCTTGGTCTCCGTCGACAGCGGCACGTGAGGAGGTGAAGCGGTCAAAGTTTCCAATTTATTGAAATCGAGCTCTCCGCCATTCAAAATTGTGAACCGAGCTTTAAAGTATCTCGAAATCGCTTAAAATAATTTTTATGATTTTTTCGGAAATTTTTCGATATTAGGGCACTGTTCACGTGCCCCCACTGAATGTGGGGAAGGAAAAAGTGACCGATTTTATAACTGTTTTGACCGGTCACAACCCGACCCGACCGACCCGTTGACCCGACCGACCCGTTGACCCGACCCGTTGATCGTTGACCGACGTTCACCACTGTTGACCAAAACTTTGACAGGCTTTGATCGGGCATTAAACGACCTTTGACTTTGACCGAGTATACCTATCCTGACATTTTTCGACGTTCCAAATCCGATTCCGCAGTCTGTTTTTCAAGATTCGAACCCGAAAGCCTAAAAATTATTGGTCAAACCCGTTAACTTTGATTTTGACCAAAAATACAAAATTTTCGAAAAGTCATATTTTATGCTTTCGACGTCTTGAATCCGAATCCAAAGTCTGTTTCACCAAATTCGAACCCGGTAAGCTGTTTTTCACTGATTTATCACCCGATTTGATCCGTTTATCGTAATTAAGCTCCGTTTTTTATATAATTTATGTTGATATGTATCTGAGGAATTATTGGAAGTTGAATTGTAGATCAAAGGCGTTCGAATGGAATTTTTATGGTTGATCAGTATTGCATGGAAATCGAGGTAATACTTTACTACCTCTTTATGCTTTATGGAACATGTGAATATTGGTAAATGCATGATTAAGATAATGTTGGTCTCATTTGTGTAGTTAATTAGTTTCTACACTCAATCTAAATACGGTAAAAGGGTTCAATAATTGATTATGGTTCAGATGATTTTTATAAGAAATTGAGGGATTGTTAGAATTAAATTACAAGTTATGTGCTTAGTGATAAAGAAATCAACATGGATTTGTAACTTATAGTTTATTTCATCAAAGGTTAAATGTTAAAGGAACTTGGTGGGAAATTATGATAATACTCTGGTATGGTAAAATTATGAAAATACCCTTAAGTTGTAAGATGTCAAAAATTGTCTCTGAAAGTTAATTATTAACTCTGAAAGGATATATTAATATGATAAAACTACATATGTGCTTAAGAAATGCTAGATTTTGCTTACGAAATACGAATAATCAGTTTTTAACCCCTAGAGGGTTTGTGCAAGATATTAGAATTCTATTAAGGAATCATTTCAAGATAAGAGAATGTTCGGTAAAGCAATTGATCATAGGATCCCTAAATTATAATTATTTTCGTTAAGAGCTAATATTGAAATTATCTGGTTAAGAAATAACGGAAATGCCCTTGAGAGGTAAAATAGTCCTAGTTAACCCTGAATAAGAAAATACTTTAAGGATTCGTACTTAACTCGATTAAGTACGGATTTGATTATTAAGATCCTGACTTAGTTCAGGAAAATTCCTGATTTTCCGTTTGTAAAATCTGAGAAGACACTTGACCCAGAAATATCCGAGTTATGAGTAAATACCTGAAGAATAATTTGTCAGGGTGTTTTGTTGTCATAATTGTTCGAAAGGACTGAAATAAATGATAAGATTAAATTTAATAGTAAGATCGGACGTAAGGAAATGATTGAAATATTCTAGATTTATAAAATGACCAAAATACCCCTGGAATAGAAATGACTCAAGAATGTCACCAAGTTCAAGAATGAATGGATATACTTAAGCTTTGAAATGAATAGAAAAACGTTGAGCACCAAAATGACCAAAATACCCTATTGGCCTAGAATAAGTAAATGTCTTGGATTA